GACTTTTTGGCGTGCCATTCTGATCGAGCTTTTCAGCTGAAATAACGTGGAAAACAGTGTTTGAATAAACACTTGAAACGAAATTTGACTTTTGTCAAATTTTCTCCGATCCAAGATATCTTGGATCGATTAAATTGGTACTGGCCAAAGCGTCTTTGGCGCTTACTGGTAATTTTTCCGGTTGTTCCCAGTTTTAATCCCGTTTTGCACCCTGTTTTTGTCTTTTTATTGCGGTCGTTTTCCTATTGTATACGTGTTGTAATTCTAATCTGTTTTCCACATGAACATGGCTGTCTCGCTAAACACCGAGACGGATGGACCTATGGGGTCCTCGTTTGATGAGTCTACTGCAGCTTGCGGACAGGTTAACTGTTCAGAGCCAGTAACAGATGCATCTGGTGGTATGCAGTGTGACGTCTGCTGCCGCTGGTATCACGAAAGCTGTACCGGCCTACAAGCTGACCAGTACAAAATGCTATCATCAAGCGTCCACTTTCTTTTCAGCTGTGCTGAATGCTGCGCTAAAAGATCGACGCGCCTGGCTGTCACCGGTGCTAAACTTTCAGCGTTGGCTTCAAGGTTGGCAGATGTTGAGTTGGCGATAGCTAAACTCGCCTCTATTGCTTCGCTCGATACGAAAATGGATTTGATTTTAAAATCCCTAAATATTTCGTTTGAAGACACAGCAATAGCCGGCAACATTGCTGACGATCCATCCACTGGAGTCTGTCAATCGGTCATAAAGTCGCACATCCTACCGGCCAATCCAGGTAGCATTGCTGGCGGTCCTCATGATCCGATCAAAGTGAAGAAAAATAGGGTGCGGAAATACCAAAAGCCCTCTGCTAAACCCAGAGAAATAGTTGCCACGGCATCGAAAGAGATGCCGTCTTTGACAGTCATAAACTCGTCTGACGATTGCACACAGAACTTTCCACAGACGCTGACTGTCTCGGCCGCCAGTGAACCAGCCTGTTCTGACGAAATGCTGGTAACTGCTCAATGCGATACAAAGTCAACGGCCCCTGCTCCAGTGAGCCAAAAGAAGAAGCGGACAAGATCTGCTCGTAAAACTTCGAAGGGGCTTGAAGACCCAGGAACCAGTAAGACGCCGGCAATAGAGCGGAAAACCTACGCTACCGTTGCTTCGGCGTCGTTTGGGAAGCCAGGGACAGTCCCACCGCCAGTGGTGAAAACAGCTGGTACAGGTGTCGACTCCAAGGCACGTGGGGTAAACACTCCCCGTCGTGCCGACTCTTTCACTGATAGTAGCGTTATATTCCGTAACGTTACTGAATCTGAGGCCGTTCTCCCAAGGGAACGCATCTTGGATGACATCAAGTGGCTGAAACTGTGTGTCAGCAAGCTGCTTCCACCTGGTTTCCCTGGTGTCACTGTCAGAAAGCTGACCAGATTGGGGAACGTTCCTATCGCTGCGCCAAATCCACGACCCCGACTACTTCGCGTAGTCCTTTCTACCCCGGAGGAACGCAAATCGTTACTGCGATTTGCATTCAAACTTAAGGGTAGTGGTGTCAGCGTTCAGCCGGACCTACCACTGGCAGATAGGTTGAAGTTAAAGGAGGCTATCAAAGACCTCAAAACTAGACGGGCGGCTGGTGAGCAAGGCCTCCGTCTGGTGGGTTTTCAGGTGGTCAGCCGGAAGTTACTTTCCGCCCTATCAGAACCAATCCTGATGGCGCACGACCCAGGGATGGTCGTGCCGACTTCCTTGAGGTAGTACTTAGCAACGTGCGTAGCCTAAGGAACAAGGTGCACGAGTTGGGTCTACTTGTAGACAAATCTCGTCCCGACATACTTGCTTTCACTGAGACGTGGTTGTCTCCGGATATCACGGACGGTGAGGTATATTTACCTGGCTACGCGCTGCTTAGAACTGATCGCTCCGTTGGTCGCCAAGGCGGAGGCGTTGTACTGTATGTGAGCTGTAACTTAGATGTGTTGAGGACTTGCACATTCCAGTCGTCGGATCAGACTGTTGAAGCCCTATCGGCTGTTTTGTGCACTTCCTCTACCCAGTTTACAGTTATAGTGATATACAGAAGTCCTGGAAGTTCCTCCAGGGGGATACTTGACTTTATTCGCACTCAGTCTGCGAATAAGTGTTTAGTTCTAGGGGATTTCAACCTCCCGGAAGTCTGTTGGGCCGATCTTTCTTGCAATTCGGCATTAGGAACATTCGGTGCAGACTTCCTTGAACTGACTCTCCAAGTGCCTTTGCACCAGTTCGTTGACTTTCCCACTAGGTATATGGACAACCAAATACCATCTACTTTGGATTTGGTTTTCGCTAAGTCCCTGGACTTCGTGACTGACGTTTCATGCGGTGCACCTCTAGGGTCTAGCGATCACGCATGCATATCCTTTCGATGTGCTCTTTCAAGGCACCAAGAGACCGCTGTTGAATTACTTCCGAATATTTGGCGGGCGGACTTTAGTGCAATGCGAACTAAGGCTTCAGTTCTGAACTGTGAGATCTCGATGGCTGACTCTGTCCAGTTAGCCTGGGATAAATTTAAGGCATACCTTACGGAGGTTTCCACTCCCTATATTCCACTCATTAGGAAAAGAGGGTTAAGGGCACAGCCTCCATGGATAGATACCACAGGCAAGTACCTACTCAAGAAACGGTCTAGATGCTGGCGAACCTACCAAGCAGCTCCATCAGCCAGTACCTATGATAGTTATCGAGAGAATAGAAATAAATGTAAGCAACATCTCAGAACTGCTCGTCTCCAATACGAGCAGGGTTTAGCGGACTCGGCCGCAGCTAATCCCAAGAAGTATTTTGCTTACGTTAAAAGACGCAGCGGGGCAAAACTGTCTATACCAGCTTTATTGCGAGCAGACGGGACCCGTGCGCAAACTGACTATGACAAGGCTTGTATACTGAGTGATCAGTATACTGGGGTCTTTGCTCGGGAGACCTCTTTACCACAGGTTGAATTGGTTTCAAGAGTTCCAGAGGATTCTTGCTTAGCTGAATTTAGCATAACGGAGACTCAGGTCTTCGAGCTACTGCAAGGCATTAATCCCTCTAAAGCTTCCGGTCCTGATTCAATTCATCCGAAGCTGTTGCATGAACTGGCCACTGAGCTGAGTGGTCCGCTCACGTGCGTATTTTCAATATCGCTGGACAGCTGCAGCCTACCTTCGGAATGGAAGGAGGCAATCATCTGTCCGATTTTTAAGGGCGGTGACAGCGCTCTACCCGCGAACTACCGGCCTGTCAGTTTGACAAGCGTAGTAGTCAAGTTGTTCGAGAAGCTGATAAGGGATTCAGTGGAGAACCACCTGAATCGATTCAACCTTCTCAGTGTTGCACAACATGGATTCCGCAAAGGATTTTCATGTCAGACTAATTTACTTGTAGCTCGTGAAAGCTGGGCCGAAGCGGTAGACAGTGGCCACGCTGTAGACGTGCTATTCGTAGATTTTTCGAAAGCTTTTGACACTGTTCCACATCTTCGGCTCTCACTAAAGTTGAGATCTTACGGGATATCTGGTCGCGCCCTTCAATGGGTGTCTGCCTTCCTTGAGGGGAGGGAACAGTGCGTACGGGTGGGGCGTAGCCTTTCGCTCAGGCAAGCTGTCCTTAGTGGCGTTCCGCAGGGCTCGGTATTGGGGCCATTGTTGTTCGCGATCTATGTAAATGACTTGCCGGGAGAGCTAGGGGTGTCATCATTAATGTTTGCTGACGACCTTAAGCTCTGGAATATTGTGGATATCCCGGGGGTCCTGAGGCAATTCAGCGTGCCTTGGATAGGCTCTGGGAATGGTCTATCTTATGGTTGATGCCCATAAATAGGGCGAAGTGCTCTGTTCTCCGAATCGGAGCTGCAAATCCTCCCACCCGATATGTTGTCGGCGGTGGTGAACTCCCTGTTGTCACTCAGCAGGTTGATTTAGGAGTCGTACACGCATCAGCACTTCATTCTGGAGACAACTGGAAGAAGGCTGCTTGTCGAGGGTTTCGTATGATGTGGTTTATCCGCCGCTCTTTCGGAATCTTAACGGCCAAGTTGTTTGTGAAGCTATTTTCGGCATTCGTCCGACCCCACCTGGAATATTGTATTCAGGCTTGTCCACCATGTCTTAACCGAGACAAAATGGACTTGGAGAGGGTGTTACGAGTGGGCACTCGGTTAGTGCAGGGTCTACGGGGACAGACGTATCCTGAACGCTTGCTCAGTTTGGGTATGTACTCCATGCACTACCGAAGGATAAGAGGGGACCTGATTCTCACTTATCGTATTTTGACGGGTAAGATTGGCCCGGACTTGTCAGGGCTTTTTAGTCCCGCTACGTTACCTAGTCTCCGCGGTCACCCACTGAAACTGCATAAACCACGGTCTGATAGGATTAGGACGGAAACTCGTCTATCGCGCCGAGTTATAGATCGCTGGAATTCTCTTCCAGATCACGTGGTTAGGGAACCTACGGTTAAGGGTTTTGCGCGCCAGCTCGATGCTCTTGGGTGGCAACAGCAAACCTTTCCTTTTTCCTAGCTGACTCACCTTCACTTTTCAGTTCTTTTTTATTGACTCAAATATCTTGGTATTCCACTTGCTTAGCTCTTACCACTTTCTCTTTTGCCTTCTGCGTTTACTTTTTTCTCTTTCTTACTTCACGTAACCGACCCAGCAGGGACTGCTAGGGCAGGATACGTGGGCATTAATTGGTTGGACAGGGTGTGATGCGGTCTTTGTTTTAGGTCCATCAGTATTTCAAAGTTCGCTAACTCCTGGTTCAACGACCCGCCGAAGAAGGAACACTCACGGGATAATCCTATCGTTCCAGTCCCGCTTGAACTTGAACTTAAATTTGAACTTCACTACTTTTGCAGTCAGTGAGGACGACTCAGAAGCCGAAGTACTGTGGCTGAGTTGCTTTCCGGTACACTAAACAGGTTGGTAGGTGGGATCCTACTTTTTGCCTTGGTAACTGAGCTTACCTTGTTTTAGTTACTCAACCCTCGACCCATCTAGCTGTACCACCTCGTCTCGCCCAGATTCCGACCATGAGTCGAGCACATCAGCCCGATCTTAAAAAGTAAGTCAAATTTGCAGGCAACAATTTCTAATTCTTCTTAGATATCTGGATAAGCGTTTAAAGCGTAAGTTGTTCTGGTCTGCTGTTTTCCCATATCATTTGCAATTCTTTGAAGAACTGACTGGAAGCAGCGTTCATGGGAATGTCTTGCAGAAAACGGCTTTTGTCAGTTCTTTGGTCCAATGACTTATGCTCTATATTCTTGTGCGACGTACCTTCCGTCGTCTACAACTGTTGTAGTCCACCTGTGGCTGTTTTCTCGTCTTTTTTTCTGTGTTTCCTAATCCGTTTAGCAATCTGTTTTGACCGGTTATGTTATTGTAGACAACTCACCGGTCTTACTTTTTATCATTTGTTACACACTACTTACTAATTTCGTTTGTTTTGTGGAATCCCGACGTTTCTATACCTTCGGGGTCGTTTGCCACCGAGTCCATCTCTATCTGTTAGAGCATGGGCTGCTAAGGGCCAGTTACGGCGATTCTGATGGCATAAGGTGAAAGGTAAACAACAGTTGGCATGATGTAATTGTGCTGACACTAAGACCAGAACTGAGCTCTTTGTTTTTTCACCAAACCACCGTTTCGTTAATGGTCGAATTGACGTCAATGCGTAGTGGTTGCGGTAGTAGCAGTAGCCTTTGTGGATGGAACTGCGCTTCACTCAAATCCGAGGTTTGTCAATTTTATCTGGGACGAGTTATTTCTGACCGATTTGCTCAGCTCCGGAAGTAAACCAACACTAAGAGCGCACCTGTTGTTTTTTTACGACAGGCCGGCCTGTAGTCTGCTCCTTATAATCTGAGTACTAAAACCATCGGAAGAAGGTAAATGACCACCAATCTCCAGGTATACATGCTTGAAGCGAGCATCAGGTAGTGAAGAAGTGCCAGGGACAGTGCTTATAGTTCCGATGGGACTGGAACGATAGAAGAACCCGCGAGTGTTCCATCTTGAGTGGATCGTTGAGCCGGGAATTGATGGTGCTTAGAGTTCTTGATGGATCTAGAACGGAACAATCGTTTCACACCCTGGCCAACCAGTTACTTCACGTTTCCTGCCTTAACAGTCCGTACTGCTGCAGATTACCTTTCAGATATGACGCATAATTCATTACTTTACTTTACTGTCAAGATAGCGAGAAAGATGTTGAAGATCTATGTAGCTATATCTCAATGTAGGACATGTCCCACTGACACAGTGTTACCTGTAGTAGTGAGCTAGCCCAGGTGGAAAAAGTAAAATATTTACAAGCATAGAAAAATTCTCCATGTACTTACGATATATTCTTGGATGAACCACATGGAGTCCTTCACCAGCTCCGCCGCCTATTACGGATGGGCATCGTTTCGGAAGCTGCAGTTGGTGGATTAACGGGCTCCATGGGTTATAATCATTGAACGATTCCTTCGTCAGTTTCCTGTGAAGGCTTCGTCGAATCTGGCATCCGCAAAGTGCGCGTCCAGGAATCGTTTGAATTCCGACACCGAGTTCGTTTCTACTATCCGCGAGGGCAAACGGTTCCACATGTTCACCACTCGCCGCTCAAGACACAATGGATGAGCTACCCACTTGAGGTCAGGGACTACCAGTTTGTACTGGTGACCTCGTGTGCTGCTTGACGCACGGACATGGAGCAGTGGCCTCAGCATCGGATAAGCACCCAGATGCAATACCCGATGGGTCATAATGAGGTCCACTCGCACGCGGCGGTAGGCTAGAGTATACAGACCCAATTGTCTGCATCTTTCTTCATACGGCACACCCTGAAGACCAGGAATGAGCCGTGTGGCTATGTGTTGTACTCTTTCGAGCTTGTGTATCTCGCCTTTCGTCAACGGACAGTAGGCGGGTGAGCCGTATTCTAGCACCGGTCGTACAATGGATGTGAAGAGACGAGTGGCAATCTCTTTCGACCAGGTGCAGAAGATACGTTTCAGCGCCCACAGCGAACGCAATGCTGTGCGATACATATTGTCCGTGTTGTCCAGTGACTTCATGTAACGTTGTATAACGCCAAGGTCTCTGACGCAATGCGTCGGGTGTAGAACTTGGCCGTCGAGAGTGTACGATCGGCCCGCTCCACCTTTACCGAGGCACAGAAGTAGCGATTTTGCCGAGTTGATAGGCAAACTTACTTCGGCGGACCACATGGAGAGGCGGTCGAGGTCCTGCTGAAGTATGTCAAAGTCGTCCGACGTATGGATCACCCTCCATAGCTTCAGGTCATCCGCGAACAAGGCACACGGCGACCAAAGGAGATTGGGCACGTCGTTGATGTGAATCAGGAAGAGAATGGGGCCAAGCACCGTCCCCTGAGGAACGCCGCTCGTCGACGGGTACCAGTCGGTCAGGTGGCTGTCGACTTGCACCCTCCACTTCCGTCCAACCAAGAAGTCACGGATCCATTGGTGCAGCGGACCTCCGACTCCGCACTCCCTCAGTTTCTGAAGGAGGATCTCGTGATTCACTCTGTCGAAGGTCTTACTGAAATCGACGTATACCACGTCGACTGACTTACGTTGGTTTACTGCTTGCAACCATTCATGCCATGTTAGCAGCAGGTTAGTGATGCACGAGCGGTCTCTCACGAAATCATGCTGTGCAGGCGTCAGGAGAGAGTTGGTCTCCAGTAGCGGGAGCAGTCTCTTCTTCACAATCTTCTCCAGAACTTTCGACAATACTGCGGTCAAACAAATAGGGCGGTAATTCTCCACTTTGCGTGTGTCACCGCCTTTTGGAATCGGTTTGACAACGACGCATTTCCAGTCACAAGGCACGCAGCCTATGGACAGGGATCGGTTACAGCAGGTGAGATCACAGCTGACAAGGACTTGAGGATCAGCGGATGGAGACCATCCGGTCCAGCTGGCTTCGTGCTGTCTAGGCAGCTGACTAGCCCATGTACCTCCGCGACGTCGCAGATCAAGTCGGTTAGCTCAGTCGGTGCGGCGACGGCAGAGCTTGGCGCGCAGGTTTGGTTAGTTGCGAATACAGAAGCGAAGTGCGCCGCTAATGCGGACGCACGCTCGGTGCTTGAACTTAGTGGTTGTCCGTCCCAACCCACTAGCACCGGCACATCACCTGCAGACTTCAAGCGTCGCTTCACGTACGCAAATATGCTCTTCGGGGCAGTTTTAGCTGAGCAAGCAAGCTGCTCCTCAAACTGACAGCGTTTTCGCGTCTTTGTGCTGTTGCACAAGTTTCGTTGTCACTTGTATGCCTCATAGTCATCGGCAGAGCCAGACAGGAGGAACGCATTCCATAGTCGACGCCGTTGTCGAGACAGTCGGTTATACTCTTTGTCAAACCAATGGGGTTTCATTGGTCCAACTTTCCGAGTCTTGAGGGGTACAAATTGCGCACACAATGAGTGCACTGCCCCTTTAATGTTTGCCCAGCAAGTTTCAACGGATGAATCCTGTGGCATAGACCAATCAAGCTGATTGGCAGCTAGAATGAGGCCATCAAAGTCAGCTTTCCAATAGTTGTATGTTAGCGCCACTGGACGCACACATGGAAGCTGCAGGTTTATAGTGGCCATAATTGTCGAGTGATCACTGGCCGCCATGGGCTCAAGAACTTCTATGTCATGCACTGTTTGTTCGCAGCTGGTTAGCAGCAGGTCCAGGCATGATGGCATTGAGCGCGGGGTTATGCGGGTGGGTTGCGTGATGTGCTGCACCGTTCCGGTTTCCAGTACCAGTTCGGTGAATCTTGTCTCCACTTCATTATGGCCAGGGAGAAGCTGAACTTCAGGCCGTAAGATTCGAGGAAGGTTAAAGTCGCCAGTGAGCAGGAACTGCGGGCGACTCATTTGGTTTTGGACGTGTGTGAGCCAATCCAATCCGTTACTCAGTGGGCTACGATATGCCACACGCACAAGCAGTTCGCCGCGTCGTAGGTGGATCGAACACCACAGCTGCTCACATAAACCGTCAATGCTTCGGTAGGTGCTCACGAGTCTCCCGCACAGGGTAGACCGGAGGTAAAGTAGGACGCCACCGCGGCTATTCGACTGTCGATCACAGCGGAAGCACGAATAGTCCGTGATCGCAATTTCTTCGCTTGTCACTTCAGATGTCAACCACGTCTCAGCCAAACCAACCACATCTGGCCGACGTGAAGCAATGAAGCGGATCAGATCATCGTGCTTGTTCATTAAGCTGCATACATTAATGAACGCTACACGCAATCCGCGGTAGGAACCGCTGGGCGAGCTTGAATCGTCATTGTTCTGTTTACCCGGATTCGGGGTATCCTGGCAACTGTGCGAAAATTTACGATACGCAGGTTAGTTTCACCGGCGTCCGTGCGTCGTTTCAGTTCGATCACGGCAGACTTCAGCTGCTCTCGTTCTGCGGAATCTAGGTCTGGCCGGACATGGATTTTCATCCCCTTTAGGCGACCGAGGCGGGACAGTACTAACCTTGGGGTAGTTTCGTCGGCGAACGCGATGCGCAGAGGCCGACACTTGCCATCAACTTGTTTCCCCAGACGAGTGACTTGTTTCACTCGTAACCCGGCTTCGCCAACATCCAGTAGTTTGTCGGTTAGAGATTGCAAGAATTGCACATCATGGTCATAGCGTACCTGGGGACTGGGATCAGTCGACTCAGGTGCGTGGAAAATCATGACGTTGCATAGCCGTCCCCGTGGTGACTTGCTATCGCTTGGCTTCACCGGTTGCGGTAAGGCCGGTTTCTCGGCTAGCAATTTCTCAAGTCGTGTTACCTTGTTTAGCACAGACTTTAGTTGTGACACTGTAGACGGTGATTTCGATTTGTTGTTGTTTACCGCATTACAACTTTTCTTTTTAGGGGCCTGGACCCAGCCGGGTGGTTTTGCGGCGCCAGCGCTGGTCACGGCTGCGTAGGTCGCAGTTGCAGTTAGAGTGCCGACAGACGGCTTTTTTCGGTTGTCTTGTGAACTATGCATTGGTGTGTCCGCTGATGAAGCGGAGGAGGAGCGGCTTCGATTGCGCACAGTATGGATGCATGGAGGAGTCACCGGCGGTAGTACGGGCATCACCAATGCGGCGTTATTATCTGTCTTTTTCGCCAAA